CTAAATAACTGCTTATATATCCATACATCTACCTAAATAACTGCTTATCTATCCATACATCTATCTGAATAAATGTTTATCTATCAATACATCTACCTAAATAACTGCTTATCTATCCATAGATTTATCTGAATAAATGTTTATCTTTCCATACATCTATCTGAATAACTGTTTATCTATTCATACATCTATCTGAATAACTGTTTATCTATCCATACATCTATCTGAATAACTGTTTATCTATCCATACATCTATCTGAATAACTGTTTATCTATTCATACATCTATCTGAATAGCTAATCTATCCATACATCTATCTGAATAAATGTTTATCTAACCATACATCTATCTGAATAACTGTTTATCTATTCATACATCTATCTGAATAGCTAATATATCCATACATCTATCTAAATAACTGTTCATCTATCCAAACATCTATCTGAATAACTGTTTATCTGTTCATACATCTATCTGAATAGCTAATCTATCCATACATCTATCTGAATAAATGTTTATCTAACCATACATCTATCTAAATAACTGTTTATCTATTCATACATCTATCTGAATAGCTAATCTATCCATCTATCTGAATAAATGTTTATCTATCCATAAATCTATCTGAATAAGTGTTTATCTATTCAAACATCTATATGAATAGCTAATCTATACATACATCTGTCTGAATAAATGTTTATCTATCCATACTTCTATCAGAATACATCTATCCAAACATCTATCTAAATAACTGTTTATCTATCCATACATCTATCTGAATAATTGTTTATCTATCCATACATCTATCTATACATCTATCTGAATAACTGTTTATCTATACATACACTATCTGAATAAATGTTTATCTATCCATATATCTACTTAAATGACTGTTTATCCATCCATAAAAATACCTAAATAACTGTTTATCTATCCATACATCTATCTGAATACATATATCCATACATCTATTTGAATAACTGTTCTTCTATCCGTACATCTATCTGAATAACTGTTCATCTATCCATACATCTATCTGAATACATCTATCCATACATCTATTTAAATAACTGTTCTTCTATCCGTACATCTATCTAAATAACTGTTCATACATCCATACATCTATCTGAATACATCTATCCATACATCTATTTAAATAACTGTTCTTCTATCCGTACATCTATCTGAATAAATGTTTATCTATCCATATATATCTATCTGAATAGCTAATCTATCAATCAACATTCAACATATATTCTTCTGTAGACTGTATATTTTATATTTAACACTGTCTATTCTTCTGTCTGTCTATATATATGTCTTGTAAACTTAGCTGAAGAAGGTAAAATTTATGCGACATTACTGGTTCCACTTTGTGACCTCGTAGCTCTCCTAGTTTTGATTTTACGCACTAATATGAGAAAAAAAACTATCTGGTAACATTCTAATAATTCAAAACATTTAATTTCTTATCAATAACTCTCATATTGGATCGTGTTAAAGCTTTGATTTCCGGGACTAATTAGAAATTACAAAAAGAACGAATAATATTTCTAATATAAAAGATTTGCATGCAGAAAAACTAGGATGCTCTGTATATATATATATATATATATATATATATATACTTCTATCTACCTAGAATGTATAGATCTGGCTAGTGCCTAAGTACAGGGTATTCTAAATTAGGTTTTGAGGCGCACACCCCCCAGAGCTGGAATAGAATTAGTTGCATGATACTCCTTATTCAAAACTCATACATATAACCGAGAATCATGGAATTCGCCACGCCCCGCGCCACAAATTTTCTATCTTCAGTTCATGGAAATCTCTGACTGCAGCTTTGGTTTCGATACAAATGTTGTCTCCTGAACTTTAGTTTTAAACGTCAGTCACACATTAATTTTACTAGAAGGGGGATTAATATTCATTAGTCCGGATTACTTTACAGCTTAAAAGTCGGCCATTAAATAAACCGAAGTTTACATTGGTCAATTATAGTAAAGGGACCCTTCATCTAAAGTGTAACATGCCTACATCACAACGGTAAAAATTAGTAGTTTTTTTTCTCGAAATTATATAAATTCGGTCAACTTTCTTTATTGTTTCTGGTTTCAAGTCACTTTTGTAAAATGCCATATTGAAAATTTTCATAAAGCAAGGATATCTCCAATATTTGTATTTGTAGTATTCTTAAAGCTAGGGATTGTAAGCGTAAGTTAACCTCCATGCAAAGATGACAACGCCAGATTTACAAGGGTACCCTTGAAAGCTCTTATCTAATCAATTATTAATTAATTAATGTTTTTGTTTCTTTGAACCGTTTATTTTCACTTGCGGTTTCTTTGCAAATATGACTTGCGCATTTCTTGCTTATAAGAATCAAGGTAGAACTCACAGAAATAACACATTCGAGTCGGAAAAAGAACGGTATTTTTCATATTTTTGATAAGATTACTAGGTTTCAAGGGTACCGTTGTAAATCGAGAATTCTTTGTCTAGAGGGTCACTTTACAGTCCCTTTAAAAGAGGGCCAGTTAATGAAAAGTTTAAAAGAATATAAATGAGGAATGAGTATAAGTTATTTATTTCACCCTGTAGTTTAAGACTATTATTTAGCTAAGCTATCACAACTAAAATATCACAAATTAGGATAAAGCTTGGAATTCCAACAAAAATTAGAACTTTAATTACGAATCTAAATTAATAAAATGCTAACATGGAAAATTTAATTTTTTTTAAATGTTGGCAAAATTATTCGATTTCATATGTTTCACGACACTTTAATTTATCTCCTTGGGGGGGGGGGGTCCAAAAAGTTTTAAGTTTTCAAGTCTTCAAGGGGAAGAAAACTTACAGAAAAAAAATTAAAAAATGAGAAACAAATCTAATGAACAGTGTTTTAAATTTTTTGCTATGGAGAAATACATTAGTTTTTCGTATTTTAGATAGAGTATCTTTCGATGAGTTCTTAGGTATAAAATTATAGATTTCATAAAAAGGAACATTTAAGTTATTTCATCTGATGTGAACACTGAAATTAATTCCTTTTTCTTAATAATATGGTCTTTAAGTAAAATTCTTAACTTTGTTTAAAAAATAAGAAGAAGTTACAGAATTGAGATTTTTATATTGAAAATAATAGGATTGACCTTGGATTCCAGAGATGAAGTATTAAATATCAAACAAAAAAGTATTATTTTGATACGGCTTAGGAACTAGGATACATTCATTTTTCATACAGTTTTATGTTCATCGCTTTAAATACAGTTTTATGTTTATCGCTTTAAATACAGTTTTATGTTAATCGCTTTAAATACAGTTTTATGTTCATCGCTTTAAATACAGTTTTATGTTCATCGCTTTAAATACAGTTTTATGTTAATCGCTTTAAATACAGTTTTATGTTAATCGCTTTAAATACAGTTTTATGTTTATCGCTTTAAATACAGTTTTATGTTTATCGCTTTAAATTTTCGAAACATTGTTTGTTTTGTTTTGTATTGCTAATATAGTTACCCAGCAGAATTAATTGCAATTATTTTGCAATAATGTTTAGTAAAATTTTACACAAATAAAGAGCACCGATAATTAACATGACGATAATGTTTTATCGCAGGTTTTGATATGAAAATTTATGCAAAGGTTCAAACAAACATTGTATATACATACTATAAGTATTCTATCTAAAGTTAGTGCTAATACTACTCTAGAACAAGTTAATTTCAACATAAATGAAAATTCAGAGACAATATTTTTCCTTCAAGACTCCCTATCTTGATATTTTTCATCCAGCAACTAGATATGATCCAAATCATTTTCTAGTTTTTACAGATACAGCGATCAATCTTTTTCGTCAGGTTCAGAGGAATTATTGACTGATGCTTTGACCTCAGGATTATTAGCCTGTCCATCTTGTTCACTATTAGTCCTTGACTCTGTAAGATGATGATTAAAATGAGGAAAATGGAAGCTAGGATGAGCTTGGAACAAGGAAGGATGTGGTGGGAATCCTGGGTAGATAGAGTTGGGTAGTGTGACTGCTGCTTCAAGCTTCTCTCTGAGGAAAGCAGGTAGATGCGGGGAAAACATAGGAACCGGTTTTTGAACTAAACTGGGCTTGCTGGGATCCATTGTTTGGAAACGTTTCTCTAGAAAATTTGCAAAGAAGTTATGGTGGGGATATCCGTTCTCCGGTGGAATAAAATCATCAGTTTTTGGCTCAGATTTGATATGTGGCGGAAAGTGTTGTTCGGAGGAAGAGAAGTTGGGTGAATAGGGTTGGATGTGGGACGGTGCAGTATAGGAGGGTGGTGGGGAGGAAGGGGCTGGACTTGATGCCCTTGAGGATGAAGGCGAACCCTGAAAGTCATTTGTATCTCCATCTTCAAAGGACTGATTATGATTACTCTCTGACATTGAATCCTCATCCTAAAAAAAAAATGTTTCAAAAGACACTTTTATAAGCAAACTGATAGACCTAGCTGGATTAATCATAAGGCGTGTCATGGAAAAAATACATTGTTCTAAGGTAAATAGAAAAAAATATGAAGTTCTGGAAGCCTGTCAGTTTTAATCAGTAAGAAAAATGGTTCTATTAAATATCTCCGTGCAAAATTTACCATACTTAATTGAAGTTGAAACTGAGATTTTTCAGATTATGTTGGAAATTGTATTAAGAATTTAATAAAAAATTTTATTATTAATAAAATATTATAGTATTTACTTCCTTCCCCTCTTTTTGTCATAATTGTCTTCAATTAAAAATTAGACAACATCCTTTGTGATTTTGTTTTTCCATTACATTTTTTCTCATATATTTCTACTTTTTTGGGACCAAAATGTGCTTCTATCCCAAACATAGTAAGTACTCTCATTTTAGGGAAGATATTATTCTATAATTCAACAATATTTTTCCTTACGCATTTGTTTATTCTATACTTTTTTATTATGTTTAATGAGTCAAATTGTGATCGAAAGTCACAGCTTTCTGGAATATTACAGAACTGTTAGGTCCACGTGGGTTTAATGATTTTTAAAGGAATTGATATTATACCTTCATTTCTGCTAGCCCAGACAAAATACTTTCTATGGTGAAGGCACTGAGTTTCTTTCTGTGGGAGTTTACTGAATCCCCTTCAACACCAACATCTATATCCTAAAAGCAAACACCCTACGTCAATTTTATTTTCCAAGGGCAAAATTGTAAAATCAAATTATCTTTAGCAATGAACTCCGTCTGTTTCTATTTTTTAAAGAAAATAAAAAAAAGAGTTATCATTTTTATAAAATTTTACATCAAAATCAAAAATTGATAATTTTAAAATTTAGCCTAGCGTAAATTTTGATTTTTTAAATTCTTAAAAATCCGCAAAACAAAGAAAAAATTAGGCCCAAAAAAACATAGAAGAGCTTAATTAATTATCTTCACCTGATCTCTGGAGATAAGACCCCTCTGAGCGAGATATTCCCGTCTAAGTGTTTCTATATCCACATGTATCCCCTTCATGGCCAGCTTCTTCTGCTGCTTATCCAACTGCTTTCTCAGCTTCTTCTCCTAAATTTAGTTCATTAAAGAGATAGTTCACTTAATAAACAGTACTAACACCTTAGAAGTATACATGTCTGATTCACAACAGTGCCCTTTAAACCTTTATCTGAGTAAAAAAATGGAAAAATTAAATGTTTAGATAAAATTATAAACATTGATTTCTTCATAACCTTTGCTGTGAGTTGTGACGAAGGTTTTCAGTATTCCATATTAAATTAAAGGTCATTTGAAATGAGCTGAACAAAATGTTCAGAAGCTTTTAATTTTTTTTTCCTGAGATTGTTTACCTGGCGTTTTCTTTCCTTCTTGACCATCTCCGCTGGAGTTAAAGATTGATTACCTGGCGTTCTCTCTCCTTCCGGACCATCTTCGCTGGAGTTAAAGATTGTTTACCTGGCGTTCTCTCTCCTTCTTGACCATCTCCGCTGGAGTTAAAGATTTTTTTACCTGACGTTCTCTCTCCTTCTTGACTTTCTCCGCTGGAGTTAAAGATTGTTTACCTGACGTTCTCTCTCCTTCTTGACCATCTCCGCTGGAGTTAAAGATTGTTTACATGGCGTTCTCTCTCCTTCTTGACCATCTCCGCTGGAGTTAAAGATTGTTTACCTGGCGTTCTCTCTCCTTCTTGACCATCTCCGCTGGAGTTAAAGATTGTTTACCTGGCGTTCTCTCTCCTTCTTGACAATCTCCGCTGGAGCTAAAGATTGTTTACCTGGTGTTCTCTCTCCTTCTTGACCATCTCCGCTGGAGTTAAAGATTGTTTACCTGGCGTTCTCTCTCCTTCCGGACCATCTCCTCTGGGGTTAATGGTTCACCGGAGCATGTTTGCGGGTGCGCGTTGTGCGCTGGTCGACCTGGGCCCTTCTTTGTGTTCTCCTTCTTCCTGTACTTTGCACGCCGGTTTTGGAACCAAACAGAAATACGGGATTCCTAAATTAATAGAATTTGTAGTCAATATTATGCAAGTGGTTGAGAGAAATAGAGTTTTACATCTTCAATTAGCTTTTTTTTTGCAATGATGCTAAATTTTGCCTGTAACAGAAGTTAACACCTAAATAAAGTCAAATCAATGGTTCATTAACTAAAATCTTACCATGTTTTCCTGAAGCCTATAAAATTCAGGAATTTTTAAAAATTGATGATAATGATCGTATGGTCTAAATCTAATGATTAATATTAAAATATTAATTTCAAAGCAAAAATCAACAATTTCTTTGTTGATAGGTGTAGTTTATTGGCCAATGTTGTTGACTTTATTTTTCAACTATATTCGTTAAGATATGTAAATTGTACTTTTTGCTAATTTTTATCAAAAAAGAAATAATATAATCTTAACTTTTTTTCATGTTTCTTTGAAGTATCAACTCTAAAATTTGATCTTTTAACCTTTTTTGATCCCAAATAAATATCATATTCTCGGAGTTTGATCTGAGCTTGAATTCAAATTCTTGTTTATTTATAAAGTTTTGAAACAGATCCTTTGATATATTTTCACAAATCTTATTTACACAATTTTAAAAATAAAAAAAAGAATATTTTGCGCACTATACTCTTTTTTTTGAATCTGTATTGTGTGGACCTGTTTTTTTGTTTTAAGAATTTTTTTCTTTAAAAATAAATATATACTCAAAAATAAAAACAGGTTTTTAATATATTTTCCTCTCAAACGATACATTTCTACTTTTTTAATCGTTATAATCAGTCATAAACATCTGTAAAATTATTAAACAAAGTTTTTATTATACAAAGTGTTTTTAAATGTTTTTAAATGTACTAAAGAAATAATCCGATTGAAAGCATGTACCCATAAAAGGTTTGTTTTACCAAGAAGATATCCATGTCATTCTTATGAAAATAGATTATTTAAATTGTGGTTTATCTGTAAAAGTGACTTCCTATCTCACACCGGACTAACCAGAGTGAATAGCATTCGGTTTCTTCTACTTAAAATCAAACGTCTTTTGGTCTATAATTTAACAATCTTTTACTTTACGGATTTGTTTATTCTATACATTTTAATTCAAAATGCATATGCCGAAAAAAAAGTATTCAAGAAAAAGGCTAAAAAATTATGTTTAATGGGTCAAATTGTGATCGAAAGTCACAGCTTTCTGAAATATTGACAGAACCGCTAAATCCATGTGATCTGTTGCAGAAACAATGGAGGATATCGTTAAGATTAAACAATTTCAAGCTAGAACATGATTTCATCGTCCTATTTATTGATTAGTATAAAGGGTACCGTTGTGAATCGGTCTTGATGTAAACGGAGGATTCCTTCAAATTACACAGACAGTCCCTTTAAATCATCAATTTACGAAGATGGGTTAAAGGGAGTGACCGGCAATGCATGGTAGTTGAACTGAGAATGTAGTATTGTGGAGAAATCTTTTATGATTCATTTGAGAAGACATATGAAATGATGGATGAAATGATGGAAATGATGCATAATTACTGAATTTGAGCGCAAAGTCGACTTTCAAAATCATCAATTTGTGTGGTTACGCTTTGAGAATCGATTTTTTAAAAATAATTAAATAACGACGACAAAAATATATCAAAAATACTGCAGTAAACTTATTAGTTGTTAAGGAACAGACTGAGAAAATAAAAAATAACTCTTATCATCGAAAAAAAAGTAATCTTATTCAGTTATTAGTATCTGTTATGTAATCTCTATTTGGTTACAAACATTTTTTGTAGATTTTCTGGAATAATGTTGATTCTAACATTGATTTATGGACAAATTTCCATTAAGAAATATGTTCCTAAACATCTAATAAGTTTACTGTAGAATTGTTTATACATTTTTCGTCGTCTTTATTTAATAATCATTGAAAAAATCGTTTTTTTTAAACGTAACCACTCAAATGAATGATTTTTAACGTCGACTTTGCGCTCAAAGTAATTATACATCATTAAAACGTTTAATATGTCTTCAATGAATCCTAAAAAATTTCTCCACAATACTACATGCTCAGTTTAACTTCCAAACAGTGCCGGTCACTCCCTTTAAATGCAAGTATAAATAGTTAAGTAGTTAAGTATGCAGTAATGAATGAAGAGGGGGGGGGGGGTCAGGACAAATGAAAATTTCTAAAAATACTGTTCTAACAAAAGTAATGAACGATCGAATAGAAGGGGTGGGCTCTAAAGCCTAGGGGAGAAAATGTATAATTAAGAATTTAGAAAACAAATATAAAATATTTCGTAAATACATCTTGTCACACTTTGATAACCAACATAATATTAGATAATATGATAATATCTTCATACTAAACTATACATTAACATGCAAATTTGAGAAAATTTTCAATATTTTTAGAAATTCTTAAATTAGAGTTTGGTATTTCAAGCTGACTGCCGATTTATTAGTTAATACTTGGGTTGCATAACATGCATGAAAATAAACCTTTTAATATTTGATCTTTCTTCAAATATAATTTGCAAAATTTCTTAAATTTCTCAATTTTGGAGAAAATTAAGTTGGAATGAAGTTTTTCTATCTCAGGTNCAGGGGGGGAGAAAGAATTGAATGGAAAATAAAATAAAAGGTTTATGTAATCTTCAATCTACGTAATTACATCCCTCCATCGTAATCTAGCACGCAAGGTTAAACAGAACTTGCGTTAGCATCCAAATATCATACAATTAGAAAATTATTTGAAGAACATTTTTTACAAAATCATTTTTATCAATGAATTTCGCAAAATTTGCAATATTGGTGAGCGTAATTATGAATAGAATTGTTAAAATATTTCCTTAAAATAAAGATGGAAAACTGAAAATTTTATCATCTGTAAATGGTTTAACTGTATGTGAAACATTCATATTAACAAAAATAAGCGTTTTTTAATAAGAGAATTTTGAATCCGGAATGCCCAGCCACCGTCATTTGGTCAAATATAGCTAGGGTGCCCCTAACGACGCATATGTTTATATGTTTTAAACTTCTTTTATTGTAAAAATTTTAGTTTTTAAATGTTAAATTAGCTGCATCTATTTTTCATTTGTGTATTATATGAAAAATAACTACCGTCGAACTGTTCCAAGGGATTTTGTTTTCATTTGTGGATTTTGAGCTTTTTTAAAAATCTAAATTTTTCTTATTTCCATAGCTCAAACCCTTTACATTTCTTCGTTAATAATAGCTATCCCAGACAGGAAAAGTGAGGCATTGTAAAAGAATGAATCAAAATCATTCGGTACTCATAACCACTCATCTACATGCATAAGCCAAATAAAATTTAACTCAATAAAAATTTATTGCTAAAAAAACTCTGTTTTCTACTTTCGTTGTTTATTTACCTTAAGATCTAGTTTAAGAGCAATGGCTTCCCGCATGAATACGTCTGGATAATGACAAGAAAGGAAAACCCGTTCTAGTTCTTCCAGCTGCCATTGAGAGAAATTTGTCCGAGATCGTCTTCGTTTATCCTCCTCACTCTCAGAATCTTAACATAATCATATAGTATTGTACATAATCATATATTATTGTACATAATCATATATTATTGTACCGTTCTGATTAAACATAATCATATATTATTGTATACCATTCTGATTAAACATAATCATATATTACTGTACCGTTCTGATTAAACATAATCATATATTATTGTACCATTCTGATTAAACATAATCATATAATATTGTACCGTTCTGATCAAACATAATCATATATTATAGTATATATTGTATATATTTTGTATAAAAGCTTAAAAAATATTTTTTTAAAGAATAAAACATGCATTTAATTAATAAATAATTAGACAAAGATTTTATCGGTAACGTTGAGGTTAAAAGGAATTGAGTTTTTGCCACAAACTCTGAATTTATAATCCCTATATCTTTGGAACCATTTTCAAACTTACATTATTTGATCTAACAGAATTTCTAGTTTGAAATATCTAAGGTCTACGAAATTGGAATCCAAAGATATAGGGTTTAGAAAAGCAGAGTTTGTGGCAAAGACTTAATTTCTTTACCCTTTAATAGATTAATGGTCACTTGAAATTAAGTCTTGAGAGCTGAAAACTTTAGAATGTTTATATATCGAGATCAATGCTTAATCCTTTATTTTATTTTGTCTTCAGATTATTTTAGTCTTGAGACTAAATTCTAGAGATTAGAGATCTTTAACTTTTGAAAAACCAGCTTTAATTTTTTTGCATTTGTGGTGTCATATCAATTGAACTAAAGATCGATTGAACGAACAGATGTTTTGGATTAATTTTTATTAAGGCTAACATTCAAAAGGATATTGTTTTTAATAAGTTCTTATTAACATGATTATATTTATAATTGTTTAAATGCTCTAAAAGTCGGTTTGTGAACAGCAGACTTTAGTTCAACCGGATATTAGCATCGTATCTTTATTTTAAATCAAATTCATCTTTATATAGTAGGAAACGGGATATCCAGAAAGAGCGGATTAAAAAGAAAATTAAAAGTTTCCACGTGTAGATATTCAGATTAAGCAATGAGGATTAAGAGTATCCAATTCTAAACTTTTCAGCTCTGTCCCTAAAAGTTTATTTTCTTTTGCTCAAGCATGCATGCAGTATGCACACATAAAATCCTTTTTTGAAATCCTTTTCGTGTTTGGAAATGAACTAAAGACTTGCCAGGAACTGAAATTTTAAAATCCCTAAATTTTAAAAAGATGATTTAAAACTTCTATATTTCAAACCTAAAATATTCGCAGTTTGATACTATGGTTTAGAACATTAGGTTTAAGGATATGACACGTAAATCTGCCCCTTTGGTAAAAGTAGATTCAACCAATAAGAAGCATAAAGTCTGACCGCGTCAACCTTGTTGCACCGGCTAGTCCTGTCCATAGAGCTACGTACAGTACAAACTGGGACCGGAAAGGTTGGCCCAGCTCGGAAATTCAAATGTACTACGGCTGCCTGTGATGATGATAAGTGAATTAAAGTTAGTGGCAAGTGTTCAGTCCCTTTAAGAATTATGTTTTATCAGATTTTTAATAACATTCTCTTTAATTTTTTCTGCTGCAGAATATTAATGCAAAGTTTTGACATGTTTATTATTCTTATTATTATATTTTGATATTTTTATTCTCATTATTATATTATCATTTGCAAAGAAACAACTTGGCTCTATAATTATATAACTCGTCTGAAGAAAAATAAGCCGGTATTTTTAATAATCAATAATGATTCAGGAATAAATCTCTTTATTTTTATGGATAAATGAATGAATTCGATAAAAAGTTTCCTCTGAAAAGGACTGATTCACAACGGTACCCTTAAATTAAAACTTTGTATAATCAACAATAAGATATTTATGATTTTTCTTCAAAAAAACTGGTTATTTTCGATTGTGGTTTCTCAAGCGATTTTCTTTTGTGTTTTATACTATATCTATAACTATTAAAAATGCAAAAATAGGGAATTGTGATGACGAATTTTTAGCTTAAAAATGATATAAAAATGTATATTCGAAAATGTAATAGTTTGGACTGTATCTTGCTGTATATTTGACCTAAAGCTACAATAAAACTAGATATTAGAATGATATGCAAATTCATGTATAAATATATATATATAGATATAGATATATGAATATGTATATATAAAATATTTAAATATGTCTCCTAGGATATATAAAAACGAGATACAGACGGACTAATAATAGGATCATTTTCATATTCATTTTCATTCTTTAGTACATTGTACAATGTACAGTGTACATTTTACACATAGATATTTATAAAGTCCACGGGAAGAAAATATCAATATTTAGAACTTTACAGTTCAAAAGCTTAGTTGAGGGGGCTCCCCCCGCCCCCCCCCCCCCCCCCGTCAATCTTGAAAGGGTTGATAAGTAAATTTCATGTTATATAGAAATTTTATATTTTTCAATGATAAATCCCGGCATCGAGATATAAATACTCGAGATATTAAGAAGAACAAAAATTCTTTTCTCAACAAAGTCAAAACTAGTGGAGTTACTAAAGTCACAAAGTCTTACCAGTAATTTCACATAGTAAAGATAGATATCTACATATATTGTATATTGCAGCTCAATATACCTCTCGAATAAAACCATTATTCCCCAATATTGAGTTAGAATCCATAAAATTCCTTTATTCTACTCTACAACACCCTTCAGAGAATACCAGAGACTAGTCTCGTATTATATACAGGGTGGGTAAAAAAATGGTACATATTTTTTATTTTATTACTTGATGTCGCAACTTTCAATAGTTCCTCGATCTCAATGTAAACATTGTTTTTATTGTAATTGTATGTCAAGAAATCTGGGACACCCTGTATCTCAAGCTTTTATTCTCATTTTATGTCTATATTAATCTTCATATAGATTTATATATTACTGTCGGTTTGTATATATAAAACGAAGGATAAAAAACCAATAAAGGACATAATTTTTACATTCTTTTTGCATTAAAACATGAGAATTCTGTTCAAAGACCAGAATAAGAAAGATAGATATGAACCATTTTTCATTTTTTTTGGAGATTGTGTGACACCAGTTCTCTTTAGATCACTGAAGTTAAGCACACTTGTCCACAGCCAGTAACTGGATTGGTGTCCAGACTGGTAATCACAGGTTCGATTCCTGCACTCCACACAAAACTTGTGGTTTCAAAAACATCTGAAGCTGACATCTGGTTAAGCAGTTATGACCACCTGACGGATGTAGGAGGACCACTCTAGTTTGCCGAGTCCATTAGCGCCTGATCCAATCAGGGTTCAGCCATGTGTTTGTTGTTTATTCTGAACCAATAAAAACTGCATGGCGGCAACATCTATCTTTGCATGTAGCTCATTATCCAATTAGAGATAAATCCTTATATCGGCGTTATAACAGTAAATGGAAATATTTACATCTACTGAAACTATGGTGCCGGACAGAGGGACGGCTGTCAACAACTCTCGCAGCGAAAGGGTGCGTGCTTTCTACTCAACAAAAAAGAAGCTTTAAGTGGATTTGATCCAATGTTGATGAAGAGAGGAAAGGTAGACAAGCAGGGAGAGTCTATGGTTGCCAGCTATAGGTACCTGGCATACAGATGTTAGGGAGAAATGAGTGTGATGTTTCCTATCAGTATGGCACCCGGGCCTCATTCCAGTATATCAGAAGGATTCCTGCACTCTATATTCTCAGGCCTAAGAAGAATCTTAGGCAGCTGGAATCTTGTCAACCCTCTTCTCAGTATAAATGAAGCGTGGATGGATGAATGTGCTGCCAGATTACAACCCCTGGTAAATCAATATAAAAACTCAGATAACACCAAATTTCCACAATAGAAAAAAATCCGAGATTTGATCGTAACAACCCGATCAATTTCAATTCACACGGCTTTTATCTTTTTTGTAATGTAATTTGACATTTTAAAAACCTTCAGTGCTTTGCTTGTACTTCCTGCATGCAGGTAGGATTGTTTTGGATAAGCAAGATAAATGTTTCCGCAATGCAATTTTCTATTGGTTCAGAATAGACACCAAACACATGGCTGAACCCTGATTTAATCAGGCGCTAATGGACTCGGCATACAGGAGTGGGCCGTGGTTCTTACATTTTCCTCTGATCCAAATCGGTTGAAAGGTTTACAAGTTATGATTAAGCATACAAGAAAACAAACAGACATGTCGACAGACAACCAGCGATTAATTTTTTAGTAGAAATATTTTCCACCAAAATTTTATTCCAAAATTTCTCCACCATGCATTATATAGATCTGTAATATAATAATATTTGTGTTTAAGAAAGCAATACATAAAATAAATAAATTAAGTAAATGTATAAATGTATAAATGTATAAATTTATAAATGTATAAATGTATAAATGTATAAATGTGCAAATGTTGAAATGTATAAATGTATAAATGTTGAAATATATAAATGTATAAATGTATAAATATATAAATGTATAAATGTATAGATGTATAAATGTATAAATGTATAAATGTTGAAATGTATAAATGTATAAATGTATAAATGTATAAATGTATAAATGTATAAAAATGTAAATGTAATGTTCTACTGTCTGTTGACTAATGAATATTATTGTTTGGATTTAGAAACCCCTTTACAATTTACAAGTAAAAAGAAAGATATCATTTCCATTTGGACACTGTAAACCTAATTCTCATTTGCTTTTATTGTGTTTAGGGGTTAACACAAGAACTTTCATAATAAACTACAGTTAAAACCGGAAAATTCCAGAATATGAGGACTACTTTAGATGATCCAAAAAACACGTGACACAGCCATTTTGGAGTCGTAAACAGACCCTTTTCACTTTTTAAGTGATTTTTTAAGTTACTAATGAAACTAATTCCTAGTTTTTAACAACATAAAATATCAACGCTTAATCATTATTTTTTTAATCGTCTTCCTATTCCCAGTTTTCTGGTCCTCACTGTATCTATCTATCTAGCAGGTTATGCTGATTCAATTGGTTGAAGTATTTAGATAATATTCCAGGGGTATCAAAATTTATATTTAATTGGTTAAATTGTGATCTATAAGTCAGAGCTTGCTGACACCGAACTGTTAAATCTCTTTGGTTTAGGCTTAACCCAAATTAAATTCGAGATAAAATAGAGTAAATTTTTTTTCATCTTATGTTAGATATTTATTACTTTAAATACTTGTTCTAGTAGAATCGTTGAAACAAATAAAATGAATAATTATCAACAACCTGATATTACTGTACTCATGGAAGGAACAGAAGCATATCCAGCTATTGATTCTGTTTGAGCTAAACAACCCCCCCCCCCTCTCTCTCTCTTCCTAATACTTTCCCCCTACTTATTGGACGAAACACCTCCAATTGTATGATTTTAAAATTATATCATACAATAACATCCGGGTTTGCCATTAAAGACGACCAATGTTAGCTTGGCAAATCCTGTCATTAAAGTGTTAGTTTAAAGAATATATCTATGTAAAATTATGTACTTTAAGGATAAATATATATCTATCTATTTATCTATCTATCTATCTATCCCCAAAATTAAAGCTTATTAAGCCATTATCATTTTACAATTAACATAACAATAGATTAAACCATTGCAGAATTTATTAGAAACATTTCAAGTATTTCTGTATTGTAAACGTAATTTCAAGTGCCCCTCCATTTAAAAACAGTGGCCTCAAGTTTTTGTACTCAAGGTTTAATGAGATATCCATGTTTTTACTTTAAAGGTTGTTTATTTTCAAGTGACTTCCGCATTTATGCTGCAGAAAGAATGGGGGAAATCATTAGAATTAAACACCTTAAAGCTAGAAAAAATGACAATATGTTCCAGTTAAAGGCATGAAATAAACCTTTAACAATCGAGCATGATAAAGAGCTATTTATTTCTAACAACAGTTCCTTTAAATCACAAAACATTATGTTGTTAAAAGCTGGAAAATGTAATACCATGAACCCAGCTATTTGAATTAATTGTCCTGTCTCAAAAATGATTTATAAATCTGCGTGAGCTGGATATTTGTAAATGATGAATGTTTATATTAATTCTATTTTTTGTTTTAAAACGAGATTTATTGAATAAGTCGTTACACTGATTAGTAATTAGACTAGATCAGTTAACAATTTTATTGTTATCTATATATCTATCTATCTATCTATCTATCTATCTATCTATCTATTTATCTATCTATCTATCTATCTATCTATCTATCTATCTATCTATCTATTTATCTATCTATCTATCTATCTATCTATCTATCTATCTATCTATCTATCTATCTATCTATCTGTCTATCTGTCTATCTATCTATCTATCTATCTATCTATCTATCTATCTATCTATCTATCTATCTGTCTATCTAGTGTATAAGCATGAGGGAACTGTAAATCATGTTGAAGTATAGTAGAGGGATTAGAGCAGGATATATACAGTTCATACCTTGATTTATAGACACATACTCTCAATACTCAATACTAGATACTCACACCCAGACCAATATATATATATCTTGAGTAGGCAGGGGGGGGGGGCAACCCCAAACACCTGGGGGGGGGGTGCAACCCCACTCCTTTCTTAATTAAAAATTCTTTTCTCCCAACACATTACTAATTACCGATTTCAAGTTTCATTGCATTACTTCCAAGTTATTCATCAATAATCATATCGCACACCCCTAATCAGCCTGATTTAGGTGAGTAAATAGGCAGGTTGATTCTATGTACCATGTGTTAAACATATTTTGTAATTTTTTTTATAGCTTGCCACGACTAGATCAAATCACATTATAAATAAACTTATTTTGTACAAAAAAGTAAAGAAAGATCAGTTTAACATAATGACAAAGATAATTGACTTTACCCATTGAAGTCCAATCTAGTTCGGAACCAAACACGTACAAGCATTTACTGGTACCAACGGTTCTTGTGTAATTGTGCTAAACAAGCTTTTACTGGTACCGGCCTGTCTTGTGTAATAGTACTGTACAAGCATTTTCTAGTACCGGCTGGTCTACTATAATCATACCGTAAAAGCCTTTAATGCTACCGACAGCCCGGTCCAGACAGTACAATACAAGCATATACTGAGTACTGGCTGGTCTCTAGTGTAATCGTACCATACAAGCTTATTCTGAGTACCGGCTGGTCCAGTGTAAATTTAACCGTAAAAGCATTTACTCGTACCAGACAGTCTAGGGTAATCGTATCGTACAAGCATATACTGAGTATACAGCTGGTCTTGTGTAATCGTACAGTACAAGCATTTATTGGTGTCTAGTGTAATAGTACTGTGCATGCATTTACTGGTATTTGTATGTACAAAATATAGGCAGGATCACAATAATCTCACAAGAAGGAGATAATTAATTTGGTGTACAGCCCTGTTTTGCTCTTTACAGTACTGTAAAACTTATCTTAGCAGCCTAAAAGTCTGTGGGGTATTTCAAATGAACTGGCTTAATTTTACAGAAGGAGCTATATTTTTACCTGCGTCTGTGTCTCGTTCATGTTTGAATGATGGCATGAAGGGGGGGTGCTGGATTCCCCTAGGGAAGGGGAAGTTGCCCCCCTGAAACTGTGCCAGGGGGTGCATAAAGTTGGGGAAATTATGGCGCGGTAGTCCGGCCCCGGGGTCAGGGAAATGACCGGGCAGGCGGGGAAACATTCCTAGAAAATATATATTAATTAATTTAATTAATAGGGATCCAAATTATAATAAATTAATCATTAAATATTATTCATATTATTTTCTGATTCAATACAGACATCGAGAGCAGGGGGGGGGGGCAGCAAGATGGGTTTATTATTTATCTTTTTGTTTGGTTTAGAGGAAAATGTACATTATTTTAATCAAATTATCATTCATAATAATTTTAATAATAGAATACCATTGCAAGCAATACTTCTGTTTAAAATTGTCATATTTATAAGAAAGTCACAACAAAATTTCAAACAAAAAAGTCCAAATTCCTCCCCCCCCCCCATTGTAATTTTTATTTTATTTGTAACCATATCTGCATGTTTTGATGAAAAAGTATTCCAAAAGAATATAAAGAATGATGTGTACATATAAAACAAAGTCCAAAAATAGGTATATTAAACATGACAACTTGGCAAACTGGACATTAAGCACTTTAATTATACACACAAATTAAAATGTTCATTTCAGAAATAATTCCTAAAAAACTCGAAATAATTACACGTTAAGCTAAAGTAAATCACACGTCACTCTAGTATGCCGAGTCCATTAGCGCCTGATCCAATCAGGGTTTAGCAATGTGTTTGGTGCCTATTCTGAACCAATAGAAATAGTATGGCGGAAACACCTATCTTTCTATCTAGCTCATTATCCAATTGGAGTTATGAATCCTTGAATCGGCGCTATCAGTAAATGGAAATATTTACTTCTACTGAAACTATATAGAGACGTATGATGGAAAAGTTTTCAATTATAATTTTACTTATTGAAGAGATATTGAGAGGAAAAAAATGTCGTAAATTTCTAATATATAAGTGTAGTCGGATAAATTTGCTACATTCATACTGGTGCGTGAAATCAAAAACAGAAGAACCACGAGGTCACAAAGTTGTAGCAGTAAATTGTAATCTCTCCTTCTGTCTATAAAGTTTGCAGTGATTAACAACATTTTATTTTTCCAATTTAGTTTACATAAATAATGTATCAAGATATGGGGGAAAGTATAAACATTGGGAAAGTTACAGCATGGGGAAACTGAAAGTGTTCATTTTTGAAGAATTACATTGGATAAAAAAAGGATAAAAGCTAAAAAAGGGGGATTTTTTGGGGAAATGGGGGAAAAAAAATTCCTATTGTAAATTGTAATGCGTAAAAGTATTTTTTTAGAATATTTTTCCAATTTATAAAATGATAATTCAAATATGGTATATTAAAGAATTTCCCTTGGGGCAGTCAACATTTCCCAGGAATAGACAATTAAACATGCAGGTGGAAAATTAAAAAGGGTTACCTGGGGAAAGAGGCATGGGGAATGGTAATCTAGATGTTGGTCTTCCTAATAATACAAAATCTATATATCATCAATAATTTAATTAAAATGTTATTTAATCAGTAAGGTTGCTGTGAAATTGTACAAAAAGGAAAATTATACAGTAGATACATACATTAATTAACTGTACATAATTTTATTAATCTAATTTCAAACAAGCAGAATTACTGGCACGACATTGCGATCTCCTAACTCCTTTAGCTTTCATATTACACCCTAGAGTGAGAGCAAACTCGATCACTATGTTTTTAAAGCTTTAGTTTCTAATAAATGGCTGGAATAATATCAGAAAATTCAAAATTTAAGTTTACTTTAATTTACATTTTTCTGAAGAAACTAAATTATATATTATATATTGTAATTNATTATTATTCTCTGGTCTCTAAGTATTATATATTTATTATTATTATTCTCTGGTCTCTAAGTATTATATATTTATTATTATCATTATCTGGTCTCTAAGTATTATATATTTATTATTATCATTATTATTATTTTATTGTTATCATCAATAATTGCCAAAAATTCAGATTTTCTAATCCATTTATCCTTGCAATTAAATGTCGTAGACCTTGCTATTTGAAACTAAAAATTCAAATTTTAAAGCCAACACTATCAGGTTGCCAAAATATTGGGATTGAAGTATTTGAGTTTGTGCTAAAGACTCAATTCCTTACCTAATCTGTTAAGAAAATCTTGATTCTGAGCCTGTCTATACAACAGCTGGGACAATGGGGCACCGTCAACCATCGTCATAATAATTATTTTAGACTTTTTATTATAAAATGTTTATCACTGATATATTATTGCTTGATGTTGTCATGTCTCTAGCCTGTGAGCAGGTTATTGGATAACTGAGTATGTATGAAGTATAGGTTAGTGTAGAGAGGGTTCTCTATGTGTTCAGGGTGAGGGGAGGGGGGTGTATCAATCAAGCGAAAAGTCAAGATATCCCCCTCTCTATACTCCAGCAGTCCCCCTGTATAGAACTGCTCAAGAAAACCAAGAGAACACCCAGTTTCTACACGGCAAAACGTAGCTCTTTACAACCAATGAAACCACACGGGATTCATCATATCCCCGCCGGGAGAAATCCTCGAAACAGATTCCGACCAATCACCGGCCAGGATTTCGCGGGGTTCAGCCGATCAACGTTGAGTATTCAGCGACAGTGGACCAATGAAGGGACCGGAAGTATCATAATATTGCGGTGGCGTCCTGCTGACAAGCTGTTTGTGTTTATAAAGAGATCGTGTTCAGCCATTAGATATGGGAGGTTCAGTGATTCACTCAACCTTTAATCAAACCATTCAGAAAATAAATTTAATCTACTTTTTCTATAAACAAACCATAAGTTAGTCAACTCCAATTCCATTCATGCCCCTTTTTCCTTCCCCCCACCCTTATATTATACCTAACAACCCCCTAGCCCAAGATAAATGCATTAATGCATTTTAAATAATAAATAGTATTTTCTTGAAGCTCGAGAGCAAGTTACAAAAATATATTAATAAAACGAAAGTGCATTCATTGCACTTAGTTCAGCGGCAAAATTAAATGATTCAAAAAGAAACATTATAGTTAAGAATAGAATTCGAGTGGGGTATTTTAGGGGGTCATTGGGGCCGGGTGACTGTTTTGTCACAATACTCTTTTTAAAATGCATTTGTCTTTTTTTCATGTTGAGAATGGACAAAATGAATATATTCTGATCACTCTAGTATGCTGAGTCCATTAGCGCCTGATCCAATCAGGGTTCAGCCATGTGCTTGGTGTCTATTCTGAACCAATAGGAATAGTATGGCGGTAACATCTATCTTTCTATCTATCTCATTATCCAATCCTTATATCGGCGCTATCAGTAAATGGAAATATTTACTTCTACTGAAACTATTGTCTGATAATTTTTTCATTTACAAACATTGCATGAATTGTAGCTTGAATTGATTTATGATGGTTTCAATTTATAATTACTTTTCCCGTTCATATATTTATCCTTTAATGGATCCTGTAATCCCGCAATATATTTAGATGTCGTCTTTGTTACAGCGAGTATTTCGGAAGAAAAACATTTATTTTATAGCAAAAGCACAAGAGAGCACAGCTAGGGATAATCTAAATATATAAATAGATTCTAACAGCCATTTGGAAAAGATTTAGGGGCTCCAGCAGCATCTCAAATCCTTGATTTAGTCAGAGTAGTGTGTTGAAAAATCCTAATTTAAGAATGTTCAATGAAATAGCGTGCGGGTTTTCGGGCAACATTCTTAGCTTAAAAATAACATTTAAACAACTTAAAGACTTCTCTAAAAAGAATCTTAAGCGGCCAAGGGAGGAGCACCTCAATATGAATAGGACATTCCATTGTAGAAGTAAATTGCTCTCCATGCAATCTTAACATGAAGGTTAAGCTTGATTTTAAGCGGAGTTACTACTATGACTTTGAAACCTAATATCTTCTAGAGTTTTATTTAAATCCAAGAATGATAAAAGCTGACTTTTTTGCGACATTAAACAAAATGCAGTTTCCATTCAAAAGCTTTTCAAAACAAATGTGTTAAGAAACAAGAAGGAAGATTTCAATCTGCACCAAAATAATATTTATTTTGATGTGAAAAAAAGTTAAAACAGATTCAATCAAAAGTTTTATGAGTGTTTTTCCATGTTTTTTTCTCACAGTGCATGAAATGGTCAGTTAACATTTATTTTCGAACCCCATTTCCCTCCTTAAATCTATACCATTACGCTATATATTAGATGGATTCTAAACGAGTTGTTTATTGTTGTTTGTTTTACTGTTTATATTGTCATCAATGAATAATTTGAATTTTTAAAATTGGTAATTTGAATTTATCGTTCATCTATACAGATACAGATACAGATACAGATACAGATACAGATACGCAGATACAGATACAGATACAGATACAGATACAGATACAGATACAGATACAGATACAGATACAGATACAGATACAGATACAGATTCAGATACAGATACAGATACAGATATAGATACAGATACAGATACAGATACAGATACAGATACAGATACAGATACAGATGCAGATACAGATACAGATACAGATATAGATACAGATACAGATACAGATACAGATACAGATACAGATACAAGTACAGATACAGATACAGATACAGATACAGATACAGATACAGATACAGATACAGAAATGCAAACACGTCAAAAGTGCCTTGAATACGGTTTTATAAAATCGTAGAATGCTCCCCTAAGAGATCCAGGCTTCTGAAGTGACTAATGTATAACCTTGCTTAACCATTGATGTATTGCGCAGAGCGTTGAATACAACATAAAAAAATAAAATACAGACCATGACAGAATCATTAACTAACTACAAAGAAAGTGCAGTCTTTTTGAATCGGAATATTTTAAATAGTATTTTGATTGCTCATTCAAACTCTGTAAGAAAACGTGAGAGATCTTATATCTAAATAAATATTAAATAGTTAATACGAAAAATTTGAATTCAATGGGTTAAATAAAACTGGTTCTAAACCTAAGACTCAACGGACTTTTAACTAAGATACCTAAACTTTAAGATTAAGGCTCTAAAATAGTTCATAATCAACTTTATTTAAAGAGATTATAAAGACCAATCCCCCCAGCTAGGGTGCCCCTGAAAAAAATCCCACTCCTCCAAAAAGAATTTAAATCTTCACCATTCAAAAGTTTTTATCTCCTTTAAATTGTACAAAGTCTTATACGGTTCACTCTTTACAGTTTACAAGCTATTCTAGTAAATTTATTTTTATTAATACATATTCAAGCATTTTGCATACTTTATAGGGCTATACTATCTAATACAAGCTATTAACAGGGGCACACAAAGGAAGGAAAGGGGGGGGGGACAAATCTTTATTTTAAAAATTAGTTTTTTAAAACAATGGTTGCGTTTTTAAATAGAACCGTTAATATTTTTTCAAAATACCACCCCCCTTTTACCAGGCCAATTTGTTTTTTCTTCCCCAACCCCCCCCCCCCCCCAAACTATATATTATTTATAATGTGAATATCGTGAATCTGGTAAATTAAATGACGGATCCTATTCCCCCGTTGTTAAGGCTCTAAGAGGAGAACATAATTAGAAAAACTACGCAATATTTCATACTTCATTTATTAAACACCTGGGTCGGGAGGGAAAGGTGGATGAAAGGTGAAGGGGGTTCAAAAAAGAAAAAGCAAGAAAACATCCAGAAAAGAACTGAGACTGAAGGACTTGAAAGATTGGAGACAATAATAAACACAATAAAGAATCTAATGAAGACGTGTAATTCGTAAACTTGTAATTGCTGTTCTTTTTACTTTATAATATATCTATAGTCAAAATCAAAGCTACTTAGTTGGTATGCAAGTATTTGATTATTCTTATTAAAGGGACTGTACGCGTAATTTAAAGTGACCCTCCATGTAATAATGGCAATGGTACCATTTAAAGCTTTGTCTGATCAAGTATAAATAAGATAACATGATTTTAAAAACTGACTATTTTTCAATTGTGTGTTCTATACAAAAGTGACTTGTGTATTCTACACCACAGGAATGCATAAATTAATTATTAGAATTAAACACTTTTGAAACTAGAAAAATAACAATATCTTCCAAATTATTAATGATAAGATAAAGGTTTCCCAGGTACCGTTGTGAATCAGGTTAGGCATTGCCATCTTTGCATGGATGAGCACTTGAAATTACGCTTGCGCTCAAAATTATAAAAGATTTCAAATTAAAATTAAATAAACTTTTTAATGTAAAAGGATATACAGTACAGTACACAATTATAAACTGTACAAATATCTCCAGACTTATATGAAAAGCTGCATCAATTTTCGAGAGTGAACTTATAGGCAAAATTATAATGGATTTTTGTATGAAAACTTGCAATTTTTGGATCATTGTGACAATAGTGCTGTATATATAGTACATGCAGTTTGCTTTGATTTTAAAATTGCGTTTCCATTTTAATTCCCCCCCCCCTCCCCCCATGCCAACGACCACCAAAAACCAATACCTTAGCCCCCCCTCATCTCTGGTCTTTGTTTACATGTTGTGGGATGAAAGGGTTGAGTGTGAGAGCGTACTGCTATTGTTTACATGTATTGTTTACATGTATTGTTTACCAAGCATCAAACTAATATCATATTTCTCAATATATTTACAAAATAAACAAAGAAAATATATAATGTATTATATCTATAGATTGGGTGGGAGAAAAGAAAGGAAATTTTATATCAAAAAAATGTAAAAAATAGCAATAAAAAATCAAAAATATTTTTTGTGTTGTATTTTTTCATAAAAAAATGAAGGCGAGGGTGATTTTTAAGTTTAGAATGGTTCTTTGTTTTCTCTTCTTTGTGTTATCCTGCCTGGTGAATGAATCATATATCTATCATAAACATAATATGGACCAAGGCTGTAATGCAAGGAAAGTTAATTGCAATTGCGTATACTCTGCGTACATATTGAAACCAGTTCTCTCTGGGCGGAATTTGTAAACAAGAATAGATGCATCGTGTTCTTTTAGTATTCGATTAAATTTTGATAATTCACATAATAGTTTCCTATGACAAGAATATTTAATTTTTTAGGTGAAAGATGGATTCCATGCCAGGCTTCGAGCTCCGTCTTGTGTTTACATTACCGCCCAGAGACAGTACACTGCAGTACAAAAGATGCGTACACCTCTGAAATAAATTTCCTTGCATTACAACCTTGATATGGACTAACCAGGGCGAGTTGCGTTCGATTTCTTTAATTTGAATGCAATCGCATTTTTTGTCTATAATTCAAAAATTTTAAACTTACGGAGTGGACTTATTTCACCTTTTGATCTAAATAAAGAGAAAAACTTCAAAGAGAATTTTTTTTATATTTTTGCGGAATTTTTGATCGAAAGTCACGCGGTTATTAGCGAAGTGAATAATGAAATATGGCCCAAAGTCAGAAATTTTGATCTCCATCTTGTGTAGATTAATTTA